TGCAAGCAGCTCCGCCGATTTCTTTCGGAATGTATTGTCGGCTACACTCGCCAGGCACAGGCCGACAGCAGTGTTCTGGTATCTACACGTATTAATTTGGGAGGCACGCGGTAGCGCAATTGGTTGAGGCAGTACGAGTATGCTACAAGCCGGAAGATGCGGGTTCGATTCCCGATGAGGTAATTCTATTTTTATTAATTAATCTAATCCTTCCAGGTACTCTGCGGCCCTGGGGTCGACTCAACCTCTGAAATAAATGAGTACTAGGAATCTTCCTGGGGGTAAAGAGCGGCCGGGGCGTAAGGCTGACAAACTCAACGCCATCTGTGAGCTCACTGTCTACAAAATGTGGGAGCCTCGACGTTTCACATCCCTATGGGCCTCCACGGCCTGTTACAGGGATAGCTTTACCTTTTACCTTTACTTACTTACTTACTTACTTACTTACTCATGGAGCTGAGACCTTCTGGAGGATCCGCCAATTCTGCAGCTACTCAAGAATTCCAGCATTTTATGGAACCAGAAGGTTCATTACCGTGTTCACAAGAGCCCTCCACTGGTCCCTATCCTGAGCCAGATCAATCCAATCCATACCATCCCATTCTATCTCTCTAAGATCCATTTTAATATTGTCCACCCACCTACGTCTTGGTCTTCCCAGTGGCCTCTTTCCTTCTGGCTTTCCCACCAATATCCTATATGCATTCCTCGTCTTCCCCATTTGCGCGCTACATGCCCTGCCCACCTCATCCTCCTTGACCTGATCACTGAATTATACCTGGAGAAGAGTACAGGTTATGAAGCTCCTTATTACGCAGTTCCCTTCAACCTCCCGTCACTTCATCTACCTTTTACCTTTCACATGTATTAATTTAATTATTCAGTATACTGGCCGCCTTCCAATCAGTTACTGAGTGTGTGTGTGTGTGTGTACGCGCTATAAAATTCTCTCGACGTGACGTTGCCAACCTTTGAAAATTGTCTGAGCCAGAATGCCCGAGCTCATTTGAATGCCCTTTCGGAACAGAACCCCGAGAGATATATCCACCACCAACCGAATTAAAAAATAATACAACATTTGTTTGTGTGGCGGTAACCCCTCGATCTTTATTTGTAAGCACCACAAACAGGATGCAACAGTACTACTAGACTGCTCTTGTTTATTTCTCTGGATGGTTTCACTAACTTTTCCTACTTCATCTTTAAATGATTCGCCTAATGTATGTAATGAACCAGTCAGCTGGTCCATTCTTCTTCAGGTTGCCAATCATTCGCATGTATCTGAAGCGCTTCTCTCCCCTTCTTAGCATTCAGACCCGTTGCTAGGCAACAGATTCCTAACACGCACCGATGGACTAACTGGGACGCGGTGTTCTCTATGCGGTCTGTGCGACAGCTGTGTGACGCAACAATAGAACTATTGGAAGCGGGGTTTTATATGCAGTCCGTGTCGAGGTGCATAAGCAGGACAAGTGTAGAGTCTGATTAGTTATCAGACAGTCGCCGGCCAGTAAGGGTGTGAACACGGAAGATGAGGACGCTACGGCGTTGGAAGCCCTTACCAGGCGATAACCGGTGAATATGCAGTAGACTGAGAAGACTTAGTGTTTGCTGTAGTGAAGTGCAGAAAGTGTGTGAATTAGCGATAGAGGTATACTTAGTTGTAGTTACGTTCTGTAAGAGTTCAACCCAACTCCCGTCCATAGTCACACTTGTGTTAATATTCTTCCTGTTTGTCACTCCTTAAAACACGCTTTACTAACGTTCTAGTCATACGAACCTTATGTCGACCCGTTCCTCGTTCCATTCAGCGCCGGGGAGCTGCTGGGCGGGAGAAGAACAGCCGAGGAGCGGAAGCTCATATGAAATTAGTATAAATGTAATAAAGCCAGAGCTGTTTCGCTGCATGTCGTGTTCTACTGTATAACTGATGATACGGAGAGCAGCTTCTATGATGAACTAGAACGTGTATTCGACAAATTCCCTAAATATCACATGAACATTCTTTTAGGATTTCAGTGCCAAAGTAGGCAGGGAAGACATTTTCAAACCAACAACTGGGAATGATAGTTTACTCGAAATCAGTAATAATAATGGAGTTAGAGTAGTAAACTTTGCCACGTTAAAAAAATCTTACTGTCACAAAGTACAATGTTCCCACACAGTAACATTCATAAATTTACTTGGGCATATTCTGATGGAAAGACTCACAATCAGATTGATCATATCGTGCTTGATAGATAGAAGACGGCATTCATGTGTACTCTACGGCCGATCTTCCAGGGGAGCAGACTGCGATACTGACCGCTATCTGATGGTAACAAAAGTTGGTGGGAGACTGGCAGTGAATAAACAAACAACGCACAGCTTTCATATGGAGAGGTTCAATCTCAAGAGATTAAACAAGGTCGAGGGTAAAGAGCAGTATCATGTTGAAATCTCAAATTGGTTCGCAGCTTTGGAAAACTCAGACGCTAAGGTGGATATTAATAGAGTTTGAGAGAATATCAAAATTTCACCAAAGAGAGTCTAAGTTATTAGAAAGTTAAGAAGAGTATGCCAGGGTTTGACGGAAGATGCTCAAAATTATTATATAAAAGGAAACAAGCCAAACTGCAGTGGTTACAGGATCCAAGCGAAATAACTGAAGATAATTTGAGCAATATAAGACGCGAAACCAGCAGGCATTTCAGGAAAAAAAGAGGGAATATCTGAAAGACGAAATTGATGAGCTTGCAATGAACAGTAAGAACAAGAATATTAGAGACCTGTGTAGAGGAATAGATAAATTTAAGAGGGGTTACCAACCTAGCAGTAACTTAGTGAAGGATGAGAACGGTGATCTGGTTGCAGATTCCGACATTTTAAACAGGTGGAGGAACTAGTTCTCTCAGTTACTCAGTTATATAGGATCAGTGTATATGTTGCTGTCTCATTACCAGAATGCAGGGCAAAATCATGGCATAAATATATCTCACAGATCCCTTGAAAACGTGTCACAGTTCAAATATTTGGAAACGACAGTAAGAAATCAAAATTTGATTCAGGAGGAAATTAGGAGGAGACTGAATTCGGGTAATCCTTGCTACCATTCAGTCCTGGAGCTTTTGTCTTCTCACGGCTCTCCCGTTTACTACAAAACAGCCTCAGAAGCAAACAAAAACGGCACTTACTCGAATCCCGGGCAACTCAGAGTACAGCGACAGAAGCATTAGGAGTCCTGAAGTTTTTGTACTTATTTTCCTGAACCAAATGAACCGTTATTATGTTCTGATTTATAAATCATGCTGTAATCTGGTAGAAAGACGCCAACGTCCCAGGGGAGAAGGACTGGAGACGGAGTCAGTTCGTTCCTGCGAAACCTACATATCAGACTACACGGTGTCAAAACCAATAATATCACAAAATGAATCCCCGCCACCGCGAAACCAAATATATTGAAAAAAGGACAAAGACCGCCTATCTACGCGACGTAAAAACAACTTTCCTGATAAACACGTATGACCTTTGAAATAAATAATTTCCGACACTGCATTTACGTAAGAAGGAAAATGCAGCTGTGGTCTAGAAGTAAAGTGACAGTCCTAACTGGCCAATAAGTTGCAAATCAATACTTTAATACTGTAAAATACAGATGCCTCACAGAACCTGCAATAACACCGTCGATGTAGGAGTTCGATTCCCAGCATTGACTTTGGGAGTTTTAATTTACCACTTCGCCGACAGCACGTTCACCAAATAACGGGTGGTACGGTCCTTTATGGTTAAAGCTGGCTAGAACGTGAAGCTAGCCGTAACTTTCGTGGGATATGTTTCTTGTATCAATGGGGCGAACACGGGGACAGGCGAGCATATAACCATTATGTAGGTACATCTGTGGCGGAAGAAATGTAACGAACAGAATTCGGGTTACATTAAAGTAGCTACTGGTCTGATCTGATTTATTCAAGGCATGTGGTAGTCGCTAATTATGAGCGTAATTGAACAGTGAGGCACACGCGCCAAGATGGACAGCCTCTTACGTAACGATACGGGCAACTGTTATCACTTCTCTTGAGGTGGGTTCCCACAGAATCACACTCAGGACTCCAGGATCCCTGTTTAAAACGATGGCTAGGTACGAACCAATCACACACTGAAACATTAGTTCTGTCGTACCTTGCTGCGAAGGAATCCAACGGTTCATTCATGTTACCCATCTTGAGTCAGTTCTGGTAAAAGAGATAAAGTTGTCCCTGTGCATAATTAATCGCCACTCCATGAAGGCGCATGATGGAGTGGAGAACCATAAATTATGCAATTCTGAATAGCCAGATGCCAAAGAGCCATAATATCTTATTTGGAATCACTTGCATTCTGTAATGCGGAAAGAGAACTAACCGCATTGCAGACTGCTACCTTCTTCTCAACAAAATCTAATTATCTTCAAACCCTCCTTCCGTTTGCTTTTCATTAGATTGAACTAAAGAGGAACGATTTCTCCATCATTCAGATTGACTTAACAATGAGACTCTCCAGTAAACTGCACTTGTGCTACATTACTGGGTAAACGTTAAAAAGTTTAAAATAATTCTAGAAGTTAATTTCCCACCCTCTTCGAACACTCGCAGGCACACAGGACTGTAATTATTCACGTCTATAAAAATACACTTATCACTGGTGTCAGATATGGGTCACACAACATGGAATGAATTTCTAATTCATAAAACAAGATATTTAACTTCTTTAGCAGCCAAGTTGAAGCTAACGTAACATATATGACTGTCTCATTAATTCGCACAGTCACTGCAAATATTTTCTGCTGGAAATTGTATCGTCTTAAGCTTTAGGAGTAATATTGGAACTTCATAGGCCATTATCAATATTGATACGTTACGTAAACGTTGAAGTGAAAGATGGGAAACAATACACTATGAAATGCTAACAATTCCATATAGAAGATGCAAAGAGCTGGTCGGCCTAAGTATTTATATTTCACAGCTGACGAAACAGCAACATACCTTGCGATGGTAGAAGAGCTGGTCGTTTACAGAGAACAGTAGACTTTGATTTGTGACGTTGGCAGTTTCCCCAAGCAGCTGGGGATATCGCTGCGTTATACCGCAACGTCCTTTCCTGTTTTTCCTTACAAGTGTCCCTCACTTCACTCGCTAGATCCTTTCGTCTCGATGCCTTACAACCGTGGAACGCGTGAAACCTTCCTTTCGTTCCTTTCACTGCTTTACGCTCTAACTTCTGTCATCTGTCTATATAGAGTCGATTGTGTGTGAGAATATCGAGTGTTATTATCGCAAAACATTCGAGTTGATGGAGCCAATGTGTGATCAGCTGACTGATATGGGCGTGCTCGGCGTCCTCCGAGTGCTGGTTGTGGAAGGCTGATGTCGGTTGTGGTGCGTACGATATGTACGCAGGTTGAAGTGTTATAAATATGTTTGGAGGAGATGATGATGATGATTTCACCCCGGGCTCCAGGTGAGAGGAGTTTGCTTTTCAATATGCCATTATTTGTGATGCAAATCGCCGCACGTTTGAAACAATATGATTCTTTCGAAATGTTTTGTTGTAGCTCCAAGCTCGCATCTTTGTTCGGGGCTGGAAAATCGTCACAGGAAGGCAACACATCTTTAACATACACGGCACCCAAACAGCCAAAGAAAGGTCAATTAGAAAGTCAGAGTGTGAAAGGGCAGGCCGTTGGACAAGTCGGTGGGCCTACTGTATCTTCAAGAGCCAAATTGAGTATCATCACAGTGAAGGCAGTCCACGCATATAAACTGTAAGAGAGAAGTCAAGTTTTAAAATCCATGAACACTACATTGTGAGATTTGTAATTTTTTGATTATGATTGTGGATATTCTTCTAATATCAAGTTCATTGTGCTTGAGTAAAGCGTGATGGTTACGGTATCCTCCCACAGAGATTTACAGAAATCTGCATAGATTAAGTTAAGCGTTTGCATTCTTCTGTCGCAGTACTTTAGATGGTATAAATCATGAATGAGGCCATTTGCAACATCTAAAGATAGCTGTACACTTTTACATGCAGAACTGATTGGCTTCCATGTCTGAGGTTAGAGATTAGGAAAGGTACAAGGACTTGACGTTTCATATTAGTGTTTTTAAATGAGGACAGCGGCCTGGTAGTAAAAGAGTGCCAGGGTGACACTTTGGATTGCCCTAGCTTCACTGTGGCTGTGATTTTAGAGCTCCTTTAGCAGATGCTGTGTGCAGAAGTAGTAGTCTGTGTATGTCTAAGTTTGCAGATGGGTTGTCTCCACTCCTGTCCTGACATTACATCTGGAATAGTCTCTGCCTTCCCCTCTGCGTGGCTGCATGCAGTACTGTCTGTATGAGGAAATTTTCCCCAACAAGAGCATGCACTGATCTGCATGGATACTTAAATAAACATAATATTCTTTAGGTATCTGGTTTTCACACTGTTGAGCTTTTCCAGGTTATTTTCAGTAGGGTACAGACAAGTAAATTTAGAGCCTTTAGCTGCTGCTGCTGCTGGTCTTTGTTCAGTTAAAGCAGAAAAGTTGTCTGCCTGTCTTAAGGGTGCTCCTAACTATTTGAAATAAGGACCCATCTATGTTGAATGATTTTTGGGTAATCTCCTTTCATAAATTTCAGGTGCTTTGTCTTTTCTTCCATGATCCGCCTGTCAGCAAATTATTGTATTTCAGTTGAATTTGCTGATGTAAATACCATGCCATTAGCTTGCACCAGCTTGTAATATATAGAAGTGTGTGTTCTCAAGGTGGCAGATGGAATTGCAGTAACTGAAGTTAAGAACATTTGGATAAGAAGTAAGAATAGAAAGACTGCAGGATATGTTTCTGGCTTTCTACCATGGTGGGTTTTGGTTTTATTCTACAGTGGTTCTGTTTTGATTGGATTAGGTTAGGTTACTTTGTTTGGTGGTACCCAAATTGTGTTCCTGCACTTTTACTACTTCTGTGATCCCTGAAAAGGGATTAGTTAGGGGCTGAAAAATGTGACCATGATGGTGATATCATGCCTGGAAATTATCAGCATGATTGTTGTCAGGTTCATTAGTGAAGTTCTTTTTCTAGTCTCAGAAATTTAAATAATGTGACAGATATAATTAACTTTAAAGTTTCTGATCCATTCTTGTGTTCACTTTATTTACAAATTATTAAGAATATAGCATGCATATCAGAGAAAATATGCACAAAATTTTGGTAACAATACCCTGTTGAATGATGCAAGCAGGGAGACAATGTTAGAAAGGAACTTGGAGAAACAGGTTAGCCAACACACACTCAAGCTTTTGCACATGCACACATGGAGGCTGATTCTGTGCACTTCATTGCTTTCTCCAGTTCTTCATGCTGACACTGCAACTTGTTTGACTCCCCAATCCTAACTTTCTCCCATTCACATTTACAGCTTCATGTGTTTGCAGGGCAGATGGCAATTACAATGCTCAAGGGAAGCTGGGTGCAGCAGTGCTCGGAAATGCAGTGTCTCGAGTGTACCAGCTGCTGCTGTACAAGGGAAAGCAGCAACATATCACCAGTGCATGCATCTCGCCATCATTCCAGTTTGTGGTGAGGACTATAATCATGTTGCCCATTTTGTGACCTTGAACTGATGATTATTTCTTGGGTGCAGCTCCTAGAGGTTGCCACATTTCAGATCTTGGTTCTGTGGTCTGCAAATCTGCATAAAGTTTCTACTGCATGAGCAGTTAATTACTGAATTAGAATATTGGTGAGATAAAGAGAACTAACTAGTTGAGCAGACCAGTTCTACAGAATAGTTATAATTGTAATGATCTTCAACACAATGCTTGTCCATTCCTCTCTGTTTTCAAGAAGGTTACACTGAAGGTTAATGACTAAATATGAGTACGTTTCAACACAAAGTTCGCATCACGTTAGAAATGGAGCTACATTCTTGAATAACTGGGTAATGAAGCATTTGTGAATGCTATAATCTGATGTGTTTCAGGTACAAGCTAATAATTATGCCACATTCTATGATGACCAGATGCAGAACTGGTCAGTGATGTTCGAGAGCAGTGGCGATGCCACAGAGTTTGCGAAAGAGGTGAGTAGAGCTGGAAGTCTTCAGAGGGACTATACATTGCCTGTTTCCATATCTGCTGAGCGAGGATTGTAATGTTTCAGGTGGGCCTGGCCCGTTCAAATGCACTGGGGGAGCAGGGTGACCACAACTTTATGACACAGGACCTACTGTTTGGGGTTGGTTCCACGGCAACTGAGGGTGATATTGTTGATGTTTGGTACATTGTATTTCCTCTGACTGCAGGGAAGCTAGGTAAGGTATGTGTCTAAATGTAGAAAAGATCTTGCAGTAGAAACCAACAAGGTGATTAATTATTTTAAATTTCCATCTTAGAGAAATATGAGTAAGTGTACCCAGTTTCTGTGTGGAAATCTGTCCAGAGATTGTGGATAAAACATTTTTTTCCTGTTGTAGGTTCTCAATTGTGGAACTCCATAATTGTGCATCTTTCCATTCTCCTTCAAATTCATTTCTTTGCTCTTCCATTTCATTGCAACTACCACGATTTTGGTCTCTTCTTTCCAAATTTTCCTGCTGTTATTGTGTTTACAGGCAGAATTCAAGGCCTTCACAGCTGTGGTGAACTGAATCAAACTACAGAAATTGGGAATGCGTTGACTGTTAATACATTTTAGAATAGGTGAAATGACCATGTATGTGCCATTACATGTGAGCAGGTGGCCGAAGATAACATGGGCTTATAAAGCCATTGGGTGAAGGATAAGAGGAACATCAAGTTCTTACTGTTCTTTTGTACCTTGATTTAGTGTCATAAAATAAGTAGCAGCCTCTTCCTTTAGTTGTTGGAGGTAAATGCTGGGACAGACCACACAATTCCATACTTAGGCAGTGCATACATGCCTACACACATTGAATGCTGGATGTACTTTACGGCTGAGAATATCCATTTCAGGAGGTGGAGAGCACCACAGACTCAGAGAAGCCGCAGAAAGTGAAGCTGAAGAAGGGGAGCTGGGAGGAGGGGCTGGTTGGAGTGGCAAAGGGTTGCAAGCGCATGATAATATTGCCACCAGTCCTTGTGGTGAGATCTCAATTGGAAAGACATGAACAGAAACGCTGCTTGGTACTGCAAACTCGTAACTCTAATAATGGGAAAACTTATAGATTAATAGAAATAGCAATAACAAACAGCAGGGTGGGTGCAGAGATGAAAGTGGACACCTCTTCTGAATTTTGGTGATGCTAAGAGGATATGTGTCCCTAATGACACACAATAAAAAATGTATGCTTGTGTAGGAGGCATGTTGCAGGTACTTGAAATATGAAGTCATTAAGACGATGGCCTTCTAGGTTGTAACGTATAACCAGCTGGTTAAATGTGGAAAGTGGTAATGTGCAGGTTCCTGCAGAATGTTTGTAACTTAGTACCAAACTGCATGGCATCACATTCCAGAAGACTGCACGCTCAGTATTCAGTGCTGTGATAGCCTCAGATCTCATGTCTCCTGCCACTAGCTCTCAGCACTTATCTGTAGATCTGTGGTTTGAACTGGCACTGTCCAGTGTTTACACTTGACACCAAGTTATGCATGTTTGAAGCACAGGAAATATTTCTGTATAACTGAGCAGTAGTTTTCCTTCATTCTTACTGCTTGAGAAAGAAGTTGAAATTACGTAAAAGTAAGCCATGAATTTCATCCGTTAAGAATCATGCTATAACCCATTCAGTAATAAGTTACTTCACAAGATTTTTACTGTCCCACTCAGTGAGGCTTCAAGCCCCACCGGTTGGTAGCTACTCTTTTACCGTCCTTCCTTTCTCTGCCGTTGTTGCCACTGTGGTTGTTGGTCGTTGGCCTAGCAGCTAGGTCAGCTTTACCTGGCTCCACTGCTTCTCTGACTTCACCACTTCTCTTCACTATGTAAAGGGGTATCAGCTCCAGGACTTAGCCTGGATTGTCTGTGGGCGCCAGCAACTGTGGATACAGCTGCGAAGTGAAGTGAAAAGGTGGATGGGGTGGGGAGCTGATGGTGATTGGGCTAGTCGTGGGTGGAGTGAGAGACTGGCTCAGGTCGTTTTCGGGCCTTACTCCGACGAGGAGAAAAGAACACACTGGAAACAAACATTTGACTTCCGTGACCAATCAGGTGTTGAAAAGTGGTCCCTTTTCTTGACTATTGAAACACGCTCCTTTATAAAAGGAGTTTCTAACGGTTGGAGAGTATGACCGGTCAGAGGGCCATAAGTGACAGAAGGTTCTCTCCAGCGTCTTTTTGGACAGATTTCTCTTTTATTAGACCATAGGGCTCTTTGTAAAAGTATGAAGAGCGTCGGGCTGGTTTGGTTAAAGTCCGGGAATTGTGACCCTTCATGAACTTTACCTTCTCAGAATTGCGTAAGCAAACTTTCAAGCTGTTACTTCTTTAGAATTTCTATCTCGTCCCAAAATACCTTCCTCTTTTTGTGTCAGCTGGGCTTCTCTCTGTCTATTTCCAAATTACACAGCACGCTCGGGTAGGAGGGAGACCTGACTTCCATTCATGCCAATTGGGTTCAGGTCCCTCTGGTTTGAGTGTGGTGTGAGGTATTACCTCTGCTTCTATGTAGTGACAAGTACTGACACAAGTAAACAAAACAGTATGGTCCTTTGCATTGTATGGTTAAAAGATGACAAAGGGGCTGGATGTGTTGCAGGGCCCATGGAAGGGTAGAGTTCCAGCTGATTCTGGTGTGGTGCTTCAGGTAGATGTTGGGCACATCAAATCTGGGAGCAGATCATCCCACACTGATAGTGGGGAGAGTTTAGACTCCAGGTATATACTTCGTGGTAAAGATGATGATTTATTATTCTACCCAAGTAAGTTGCTGACACTGGTATTGGAGCCTATACTTGTTGGTGATTTTGACATAGTTAAGTTATATCATTTTTAATAATGTCTTGTCACCTGTTCTTCTGTCATGGAGGAGATTCTTTTCACCATGTCTTTTTCTTTTCCTTGTCCAAGCTCCCATAAACAGTGTTAGCAGAATGATGCCATCAGAGTCCAGAAACTGACTTGCTGGATCCTCTGAGTGTAATTAGTTGTTCGCACTCATTTTTGCAGCACTGATGATACAAGCATCAGGGCCAGGGGGGCATCCATATCAGAGGCCCTCACTAACAGTCCAAAGACCCACAAAGCAAGCATCATCTCCCGCATGGCGAGGATGGGGCAGGCAACCCTGCCTCTCAAGGGAGCCATTGTGTGTGATCCCAGTGACTCGGAGGAGGCGGAGGCAAGTTGACTGAGTTTTGCAGGGCAATACATTGCAATACTATGCCCCATAGTTCCAACTGAATAGTAAAGAATGTAGATGACAAACAAAAGTGGGTTGGTCCACTATGCTTCCAGGTGATAGTGCCAAACCCATTGCATGTTCTATTTTAAAACACTTGTTTATTGCTGTGAGCCCAGTCTACTTTCTGGGGTATTGGATTTGGAACAACAGGTGTGGCAGATGTGCTGATTTACAAAATTCACGATAATATACTCTAAAATGTATGTCAACAGTGCAAGTACTTACATCCTCCACTTTTGCAATTCAGTGGCCGGCTGTCAGAGATGTCAGAAGGCAGCCAGGACAGTCCAAAGGAAGATCACACTGTTTACAGTTGTATGTGCTAGTTGGGGTTCCCCTTTGTGGTACATGACTCAGCACAAGCTTTTATGCACTCAGTTATTTACTGAGACTCTGATATGCCATATTGCATGGTAAACCTCATATTGTTCCTACAATTTGCCAGAAGGATCTCTTTTTATAACTTCAGCATGGACTGCATAGGAAACACTGCTTCCAGCAGTTCTCTGTTGTTGCGGGCTGTTGCGTATTGATGGCCCGGGTATTGTTAACACATTTACCAGTCATTGTCTAGCAGCTGATGTCTTTCCTTAGTCTGCTAATCCACTTTCAGCTGTCATATCACAATGTGTTTGTCTAATTTTTATACAAGCATAAATTTGCCCTTATGTGACCCATGAAATATTTTATACATCCTAATGACAGGCTTCAGTTTCTGTGTTCTTCTTGTAATATGCCACCGCTGTCTCTCTGTCCCCCTTGCTCAAGTAGGCTCTGCCAGCCAAGTTTAGGGAGCATGTCCATGGTGTAAATATTGTCGCACAATGTTCATTATTGTACAGAAACATTCTTTTCCTTGTCTAAACCACGAGGACTGCCTAGCTGCACAAACATGTTATTGAGGACAGAAAACATGCAAAGTATTGGAATATGTTTCAGGCCTGCTTTGTTGATGGACATGGTTCAGCTGTGGAATGCTCATCTGTCTCTATTTGTACAAATTTCCAGGCTACTTTCCCTGTATCATAAGACTCTCATATCTCTTCGTTATAGTGCACTGTATTTGGCCTCTTTACTATTAAACTTGAATTAAAATTTTCTATTATTTTACACAGCGAATTTTTATTGCTTGGTTGTTGTAGATCAGGTGTTTTAGGTGTAGATGTTATTTATGTTTGCGGTATGTTTTTGATACCTTCAATTATCTGTTCATTTGTTTCAAATACTGATTTTCCTGATTCAGATTGGGAAGTGGCCGTAAATATTTTTAGGAAGATTTCTAGAAATATGATGAACTTTGATTTAGTATCATGACTGCTGAATATCAGTTTCCAATATTCATTTCTTAGATGTGTTGTAAAAAATGTTATTTATAACTTACGTGGAAAAGAATTGGAGATTACGCATTTCCCTCATTTAGCTCATCTTTTCCCCAGTATTAGGCAGCCATATTCACCCTAACCTTCACATAACATGTGAAATTATACCATGAAAAGTAAAATTTGCATATTTTGTGCACCATAACTTTCAGACATGAATTTCTGTTCATAATACTGCATAAATTATGTAAGTAAGTATGTTAGTCCTCTTACACTATCATTAGGATTGTTAAATAAATTAGGTTATGATGGGTTGAACATGTAGATTGCATATTGCAATTGTTTATGGAAAATGTACTAGGCATATGATCAATTTCAAAATCAAGATGAAGGAGGGAGGAGGTTGTGATGAAACAGTTCATACAATAGGCTTTAGTGTTAAGAGGTGTTTTTCATCCAGTTCTTATAGAAAACAGTCAGTAAGCTAGCCAGTTTGTCTCCTAGCCACTGAAGGTTGCCTAAAGACATTTTTCATTGCATTGTCTCCAGTATTTTTTAGATTAATGTTAACAAGATCCTGCCACCATCTTCATATGGACTCTGCAGTGGAATTTGGTTGTCTGGGAGAGTGACTACTCAAGTATCACTTGCAGGAGGAGTTGAGTGGCCCTGGGGACATTGCCCCATCTATGGTCAGCAAGACACCAATCAGGATGCGCCAGTCAAAATCACGGACTGTGTCGTCGTCATCGTCATATGTTCCTAGTGTGCCGATGTCAAGCGGGATGCTGCCTCAGCAGCTGACCATCTACCAGCCTGTGCCCCCACAGGCGCACCCGTACATGGTATCCTCTGAACTGGTGCACTATGTAACTGATTAGATGTGTTGACAGAATGAAAAGGGTCCAGTCATAGGACCCATTCATGATGGGTTTTACATCCATCATACACAGCAGGTTCAATCTTTGTCACGATTGGAAAGCTTTGGGCTTTTATTTTTATTGTGAATCTGAAGTCACAGTCATGTTGTAATTTCAGATCATACACCGTGTTCAGAGCGCAGGCTGATTGGACATTGATTTTACCATTGGCACCTTCCTGCAAAAGTGATGTGTCACCTGCCAAGAAAAATGCCTGCGGGCATTCGGAACCAGTAGCACACATTGTTCACTTCTTTTGTTAATTATTAATCAATAGGGCTCGGATTTCTATGACATGTCATATTTTTATCCTGGCATCTTTTCACATGTATAATTAAATATAAACGCATTTCTGACTCTTGTGAACATGAAAATAGGGTTTTTATTGGTCATATAAATGCATATTTGAACCATATTTTAGCTTTAGGTCATATTTGGGCCCGAAGTGATATAAAATCATATTTTTGGTCATATTTTAGGCGAGTTTCACTTATTGCTCAGAAATATATTTGCAAGTATTGGCAACGATGTTATTTGGAACTTCATTTCTTAGAAATATTTGGCCTTGTGTAACGGGATTTGAAGGAATACTGTACAGTGTGAAGGGTAATGGTTCTTGACCTGGCGTAGAATCAACCACTTTGAAAAGAGAAATTGCCACCTCTGCCTCTGTCTGTCCGTCTCTCTGTCTGTGTCTCTTTTTCTCCTCCACTGCAGTGATATCTGAAGTCCAGTTTGTTTCTTGCATATTGGTGAAAAATTTTTCCATCCACAAAGCAGTAAATTTCTACCCTCTCCCCGAAACCTGTTCAATACAGTACTGTATTCATAACTTCAGTTGTTCAGTATAGTTTCAAGATGCCTAAAGTCAAGTGCTCTAATAGCATGAAGTTGCGTGGTTTTATTAAAGAGTTTGGTGACAAGTATTTTAGTAGTGACGGAGAAATTTTATTTTGCAAAATGTGTGAAGTGAAAGTTACGGCAGAGAAACGTTTTACGGTGCAACAACACTGCAATACAGCTAAACATAGAAGCTGTGTAAACAGAAATTACCATGGAAAGTAGACAGCGATTGTTGTTTGAAAAGTCATCCTCCAGTTCACCGAAATCAGGAAATGCCTCCGAGTTTTCAAAGGATCTTTGTACTATGATGGTTTCATCAAATATTCCATTACATAAAGTAGATACACCTAGTTTCCGAAACTTCCTCGAAAAATATACAACTCATCCCATTCCGACCGAATCCACATTAAGAAAGAACTATCTCACTTCCTGCTACGATGTTACCATCAATAAACTAAGAAACTGTGTCAGAAATAATAAAATATGGGTGTCTGTCGACGAAACTTCTGAGGTAAGTGGTAGATTTGTACCGAATGTTGTTGTTGGTATACTGAAAGATGACCAGCCTCGAGATATATTCCTATTGGCATGTGAGGTGTTGGAAAAAGTGAATAATTCTTCCATTGCTGTTGTTTTCGACAATGCGATGAATTTGCTGTGGCCAAATAAGGTAGAACGAGAGAATGTGCTCCTCTTCTTAACGGATACCACTCCATATATGGTAAAGGCAGCAAAGGGACTTCAGGTACTGTATCCCAAAATGATTCATGCAACGTGTCTTGCACATGCTCTGCATAGGGTAGCAGAAGAGGAGTGAGAGAGCTACTTTGATGAAGATAAATTAATAGCAAATGGGAAGAAAATTTTTGTTAAGGCTCCACTTTGATTGCAGAAGTTTAAAGAAGAGGCTCCATCACTACCCCTTCCCCCTAAGCCTATTCTAACACAATGGGGGACTTGGCTCGATGCTGCAGATTATTATTGCACACACTACAGTGTGATTGAAAATATCTTCATGAAGTTTGACAGAGATGATTCATCTTCAATTCGAACTGTACAAAATTTGTTTTCATCAACCACGTCAAGAAATCTAGCGTACATAAAATCAAATTTCAGTGTGATATCAAAATCCATCATTAGACTTGAAGCTGTGGGCATGCAACTGTGCAATGCATTACAAATTGTTAAGAAAGTTGAAAGTGAACTACATCAAGCACAGGGTGAAGTTGCTGTGAAAATTAGCGCAAAATTACAAAATGTGCTCCAACGAAATCCTGGATATTCAACACTGTGTACAATTTCTGACATTCTTTGTGGCAAAGAAGTTGAATTTGACAACAGTGAATTAGAACTTGACGCAAGTGATTTGACTTGTTTTAAGCATGCCCCTGTGACATCTTGTGACGTAGAAAGGAGTATCTCCAAATACAAGGCCATTGTTAGTGACAGTCGGAGGTCCTTCAAGTTCGAGAATTTGAAAATGCATGTTGCCATTCAGTGCAACTCTACTGAAAAGGAAGATTAAGGTACCGTACAAATTATTTACCTGCAACTATTTGCACACTTTACTTTACTTTTCACGCTAAAATAAACAGTACTTTCATTCATGTTTTCTCTTTACAGGGTCAGCATTGTGTTGTGATGGATGCTTCACGGCTTAAAGACATTTATTCAGAAAAAATAACTTTGTACACTTTTCAATGAAACGCCATTCAGCTTCTCTCTTTATGGGGTCAGCAATGTGCTGTGATCGATGCTTCAGAGCTTAAAGATATTTATTCAGGACAAAATAACTTTGTAAACTTCTTAATAAATTGCCATTCTTAGGAATTTTTGTTAAATATTTACTTATTTTTTGTGGGCCATTCTGTCATATTTTAGGTCATATTTTGCCATTTTTAGGGCATAAATGCATGCATTTTTTCAAAGTTTTTAGGTCATAGAAATCCAAGCCCTATTAATCAAATATACATGGGTTACTTCAAAAGTCATGGCAACTAATATTTAGGGGGCAAACACGTTACAGTGAAGAAAGTTCAGAATATATTTATGAAAGGGCATGATACACCGCTCCGATTGGCTTAGTCAGGTCAGGTAGATGTGAACGGGCATAGGTATAGTAAGCAAGAAAAATTGCACATTATGGAATGACTGTTCTTTTTTTCGTTCTTTAATCCTCGAAAAATTCAATTGTGATTAAGAAATAAAAAATTCAGTGTTTCATGTTTCATTGATGGAAACTACCCGATTCAAGAAATTGTCTCCTTGAATTTCATATCGTTCGAGGTTCACATGACTTGCTTCATAACGTGTCCACTTTGAACCTCGTTTAATTCGAGTGGCACCCACTTCAGTGCAGTGTTGTGCATGTGTAGGTCTTTTTGTAAAATTCGATGCACAGTTGCCTGGTAAATTCCTGTATGTCTCTCTAACTCCTTCAGAGACCAGCACCTATCTTCCTCCATGCACTGGGTAATTATGAGAAACATCGGAACGAAAGGACACGGTGTCCACTAAGTTGCAAGTCGGCACTTGCTTCTTTTCCAAGTTGGAATGCTTCTATCCACCTTGCAACAGTTCTGTGTGGTGGAGCACGATCACCCAGAGCTTCCACAAGCTCTGAGTGACATTCAGTTGCATTTCTGCCGTGAAGCACTGCTATTTTCACGTAACAACGCTGCAGTGTTCATTCTTGACAAAGTTTATGGTTACACCGTCTTCACGCTGGACTCGCTTCATTGTCCTTGGACTTCCACATCATCTAGCCGCATCACTAGAAATCAGACGTTGCTGTCTCTCAGCGGCAAATTTGGAAATTCCAGTTGGAGCTTTCGAAATTTTGGAAAAATTATGTTCTCATGACTTTTGAAGTAACCCATGTAGTAGGTAATATTTTACTCACCATCATAGAAGATGTTCAAAATGTCTGCCCTCTGCTGTGAGACATGCCTAAATTCTTTTAAACAGATTTTGGAAAACTGATTGCAATTCACGTTGCTGAATGATGTAAATTGCTTCATGAATATTCTGTTTTAGAGCCTCCAGGTCATGTGGGTTGTTGGCATACATAACATTTTTTAGTTTTCCCCACAAATAAAAATCACAGGGGTTTAGATCTGGGGATCTATGGACCACAAACCCTTGCTAATAATTCTGTTGTCCCATTTAATTCTTCAAACACACTGTGTAATGCTTGAATAGTTTCTTTAGCTCTGTGTGGAATCTGCTTCTTGCATAAAATAACCAAATCTTTCTTCTGCAGGTGGCAAATTAACAAAAAATGGATCAAGTATTTCATTAATATATTGTTCAGCATCAAAAGTTCCTTCACAAAATATCGGTCCAATGATACAGTTTGTGCTAATCACACACCATTCACCAATTTTTGTCGTAAAGGGAAATTGAATTAGCACATGAGGATTTTCACTACTCCAGTACCTCTTGTTTTGTGAGTTAACATATTCCAAGAGATTAAAATTAGCCTCATCTGTGAAGAATGTCAGCTCAGGATTAAGAAGTCTGTCATACACATGATTGATAACCCAATTACAAAACCTCGCTCTTTTTTCATAATCCATAGGTTTAATTTCAGGAACAACAGTAATTTTATATGGATGAATATGCAGTAGTTTAGTTGCTGTCCCTTCACTGCCTACAGAAATGCCACTTTGTTGTGGTAATCGCTACAAAGATTTTTGAGGAAAATTTTCAGATGATGACTAATGTCGTCAAGTTTTTCTTTTTAACGTCTTTCTCTCAATTAAAATGCCGTGCGTTCAAACTTTCTTACTAATTTGGAAATTGTATCTCCAGTTGGAGATGTTTCAGAAAATTTGCGGCAAAATTTTCTCCTGCGTGATTTGTATGAGTTTATTTTCACGTAACAATCACAAATGAAAATTCTTTGTTCTAAACTGTATTTCACACGAGCCATAAAGACATAGAACAGAGCACTATACAAAGCTTCTGTGACACTTGATGGCAAACACTGACTGACTCACTGATATCACCACATAAATGACCTTCAGTCTGCTGGTGAATCCTAGAGTGTCTGCCGACAGGAAGTTCTGAGAAGGCCGCACCATAGCTCAAGCAGTTAGTTACTGGCTTCCCACCATGGCGGCCCAGGTTCAATCCCGGTTCTAGTCAAGTGGGATTTGTGGTGGACAAAGTGGCGCTGGGGTGGGTTTTCTCTGAATACTTCGGTTTCCCCTGCCAATCTTCATTCCACCAAATTCTTGATCATCATAATCACCAGGGGCAGGCTACAATAGCCCAATCAGTGGCCGCTGTGTTGAGTGAACCTAGTTGGACTCCACCCCCACTAAGTGAATGAGAAAAATAAGTTCTGAGAAGTTCCCTGGGTGTCTAATAAGCCTGCACAATGAACGTTCAGTATATTGATGCTTCCAGTGAAGTCTTTCACTTTCATTGAAAGCTGGGACTTCTTTTTAGAGTACTTCATACAGTATTCACTTGAATGTAGAAGATGGAAACAATTTCCTGGAGTAAACATTTTATGTGTATGTTTGACAGTGATGATTTCTTAAAAAGAGAAAAGGTATTGGGTCAACTTAAACAGGACTGGCCATTATACTGAAGAATGATGACAGAATAAAGGTAAAGTTGTATGTGTGGTTAGTTAATGTGGGATAGTGAAGGTATAGCTCTGCCATATTGACCTGAGCAGTAGGTGAAGGTGAGTGGTCAGCATTGTACCCTGGCCACTTTACTGCCTAGGGAAAGTGCCCCTGGCACGATTCTGTGGGAGGCTAGGTGGTCCCTGGAACCGGTCTGAATACTTCAGAGCAGAGGAAAAGCTCTTGCTCCTGCTGGGAATTGAACCTTGGCCATCCAGCCCATACATAGCCTGTCACTATACTGACTGAACTATCGTAGCTCTCAAAGAATGATGACATCATGGCATACCAAAATTATTGACCTTCTTAATCAATTAGTTCATTGGGCTTATGCTAGAAAATTACTGCTGGTTTTTTATGTCATCATATTTCGGGAAATGGCTGATGGAGTCTAAAATACTTTCTAGAGCAGTGACTCTTAAGAGATTCTAAGAGTCTCTTTTGTGAAACTGTCAAGAAATGTGTTCTTTCTTTTTTCTTGCCATACGAGCTCACTCTGGCTCCACACAGCTAGGCCACATTACAGCGTTCAGTATAATTGTTCTTATGATGGGAAACAGAGCTAGTGCATGGTTATTTGGTACTTAAGCAAACTTATGAGAGACATTGTGTGCATTTTTGAGAGGCTTTGGAATCACAGTTTTGCAACAGATTTTAAGCTTTTCTCATTTATGTAGTTTTTTCATGCTTGATGAACAAAGAAAATAATAATTATGAAATAATAATAAAATAATAATAAAATAAAAATAATTATGAAGCTTTTTTTTTTCAAAATACAGGATTTGAGAGTTTGCTCATGTTTGCTTACTTTGCATTTGTCTGTGAGGAGACATCAAGAATATAAGATTATGAGATGTTTTTATGTTTAGACCTTTTACCTTTACAGTATATTTTACTTGTTCTGTCAGAGGTTACTCTTACAATATGTTGTTTCTGTTTTCTTCAGTGGTGCCTTTAAAGTCTATTGGTGAAGTTGAAGAGTTCTGTCTTCTGGGATATAGTGCTATATAGTTCATTGAAAGATAAATGATGACTCATTATAAACATGTCTTTTCATCTTCAGTGTCGAAGAATAAGCCAAGCAAGAAAACAGCATGAAGAAGTTAACATGGATTATATCCCAGAAGTGAAGCACTGCTGTGGGAACCTCAGGCCCTACATATTGGCAAAATTCTTATGTAACCTCTAGAAACACATTCCATCTGATATTAATCTCCTCTTGATGGTGCATTCTCTCCTAACAAATTCTTGTTTCTCACGCACTTTGTCACTGTTGCAGAGAACAGATGGCTCATTGTCATATATGCAACCACAGGGGCAGCTGTACCCTCTGGTGGCACAGCAAGCAGTCGGCACCCAGCAGATGTTCCCTCTGCCCCCCACCGCCATAAGCATGCCACCAGCTATTTCCTCACCTGACTCTCACCTGTCAGTATTTCTGGCTGAGACACGAACCCAGAACTCTGAGGTCCGCATGGGAGTAGCCAAAGTGGCAGACAAGGTGGACCAAGTGTTGATGAAGGTTAGCTTTGCAAAGTCACATAGGAGCTGGTAATATGCAAAGCAGAGATATACATAGTGTTTTTGTGAGTATTTTATTGGCCTGTCTTAGTTAATTACAGTGTCTGTCTGTTTTGAGGAACTTAACAGCTTTTCACCTAGCCACTGCTCTGAAGAAAACTGCAGGTTCATTCATTACTGCCATCACAGAAGCCTATACAATTTGACCATATTCTTAAACAGTTTATACCTTCACAGTCCATTTTCATGAGATTTACTTTGATTTTAAGAATTAAGGATACAGGGGGGGGGGCAACAACAGACTAGAGGGTGAGAGTGCTACTGTGTGTGAACATTGGTGCAGTGATAAATGGTTGCAGATTGTGGTTGGAAAATCATTGAAACCACATTGCTTTAAGAACATAAAAACATCCTGTTAAGTATTGCAGAAATAAATAAAAATCATGGATGACCATGATCATTTTCGTCAAGTTACTGAAGATGCTGGATGATTCCATGGGTGTGCAAAGTAGGAGAATTTCAGTTTTTATGGACATCTGTGCCACTTATCAGCAGCATGCGTAATTTCAGAGGAATGCAAAAGTTGCATATAGTCCACCAAATTGCACAGACATGTTTGGGCATCATGAAATTTGTCAAATGTTGTTACAGGAAGCACCTAGTACAAGCTGTGCACTTCATAGACTCAAGAAAGGACATCAAGTTAAAAAGCAGTGATCTGCAAGGAATATATTTCACAGTAGTGGCTTGGCAAAAACTCATGCAGTCCACAAGTGTTACATTTTTTTTTGTCAGTGCGGCTGTAGACGTGAATGTAACACAGAAGCTGACTCAGAAGTACTGAAGAAGAGGATGATACATTCATGAGGACTGGATTGGGCTTGGTGCTGTGAATGTTGTCAACTGCAGTTCATATACATCTGTAGACAGTGAACTTGCCGAGCAGTGAGTTGTGCATTCATTGTGAGAGGGGAAGGGGAGGTGGAGCAGTGAGTTGTGCATTCATTGTGAGAGGGGAAGGGGAGGTGGAGCAGTGAGGAAGAAAAGGTAGATGAATGTGAACCCAACCCTGTGCTGAGCTTTATCGAAGCATACACTGCTTTTCAGATCAATAAGCCATGCTTTCACATGCACAGAATTGGCGAATGTAATAAACAGAATATTTGAACTTATTATTGGCGCTGTTTTGCCCGGAACTTATTCTTTCAACTCAGCAGCTGTCGGACAGATTTCTTTGTAAGAAAGTGATTTAGACTCAGATATTTTAAAGTGATGTTTTGACTTCCTTATTAGTTTTGTAGGCTTAAATAAAAGATGTATGATATTTTCTTATGTTTGCTACACATTAAATGATTTCCTGCAATAATTTTTTTTTTCATCCCCAAACTTCATCAGAATTAATGAACAGAGGTTTCACAGTATCAGTTTTCTTACCATCACAGTACTTACTCATATGTACTCTGTATGTGTGTGTATTATATATATAAAACGAGAAAGTAGAAAAATTATTGCAAATGTATGGCACATATTTTCACATGTGATTGATGATGTCTGTGTTACCATAGAAACAAAATTCATTGTTGGTTTATAGAGCACTACTGCTTGCTGAATACTGGACAACACTGAAATATGTCTTACCAGTAACAGAGTTTTTCACAAATTTGACATTTCACATTTAGGCCGCTAGTGCACATACTGTTTATTCTCTTGAAGGTACCACCAATGCAATTTTTTTTAGTTATATGGTCTCCATAAATTACTGAAATAGAGTAAAAACTTTAGCAGACATTTTTGAGAAGATTACCATTTTGTTTTTTGGGACCCATCTTATGGGACCATATTTCTGAAGCTGGGATGTTCATGTTTACTAGGCATCTACTGAAGATGGGCACAATACTGAATATGAATGAAATCTGTCAAACCATTCAGGCACTTACGAGGCACACATCCATCCTTATATACAAGTATACATAAACAGACGGCATCCTGAGAACCGTTTCAAATATAATCAACTTTCTCGTGGCCACAAGGTTTCCTCATACATCCTGTGCACATGAGAAAATAAATCCGAAATACATGACAAATTTCATTTGAAGAACTGGAAGAAAATTGCACAGAAACTTTAGCCCTTTCCGGATGTCATGTTTAGAAAAATTTCTGCAGCCAGGTTGTCAGGGGTTTTTAAACGCCTGCTGAGCCACTCAGTGAACTCTTTTGCCCAAAAATGGGTGCAACAAGGGCATAAAGTAAAAAAAAAAAGCCAAATATGTACTTACATTTTTGATTGTCCATTCTTGGGCAAACTCAGCACTGCTATAATATCTGGCAGTGAAATGGCAGCAGTCTTCAATACCAGACACACCGAGTCATAGTCTGTCCATCAAGGAAAGAACTGCTCTTGAAATGAACGGTTTTTGAGAGTATGGTAAGTTACACATGTTGCCTGTAACTTTTCTGTAATTTGGAATTATAGTATGAACGTAACCAGTGTCACTTTCAGCTACTGCAAATATTCTGATGCTCCACTTCGTTGGCTTTTTTGTATTTTAAGTTTTGAAAATTATTTTGAGCTTGAATCTAACTGTTGAGTCATCTATTACAGTATTTCTACCTGGCAACAAATTTTTCTAAAATTGTTTCTCTATATGTTTTATCACCCCATCTACTTTCTTGTCTTTTTAGTGGCTGGATTACTTTTTTTGGTGGCATCATTTCCCCACATGCGTCATCGCCCATTGTCATGTCTTCCCACCCACCAACATGCAACAGCACTTGTTTCGCTGTCACTCTCACTTTCCAACATTTTGTTACTTGATTCTTCACTCGCAGTTTCTCCTTCAATTTCCAAATTAATCTCGTCATCATAGTCAATATCGGGTTCTTACTCAACATATCACTACTGGGTTCTTCATCTGCAGCACACAAGGGATTATATCTTGTTTCTTCAATCCAGAGGGCTGTGGTTCAGCTGAACGTAAAAAGCATGCTACTGACATGTGATGCTGTAATATATAAATTGCATTTGTTCCTCAAGAAGTTCAAATAATGACTTCCAGTTGGCAGAAGGAGGCAGACGAAACATTCATGCATGTGTTGGTATAGTCTGTGATCAAAATATGACCGCAGAAACATAAAACAAACTTTGTCGATAATATATTGACATTTGTCAATATGTCAATTATATAATGACGTTTGACTGGAAAGGGTTAGATGGTGTCTGATGAGAAATTATTTTATCTTGCATAAAATTTGACTTTATAGTAGAGAATTCCAAAGGATGCTATAGCAGTTTTTTGCCTTCCAGAATACAGATCTGTGAGCATGTCTTAATGTTCACAGCTGAATGACTTGCAGCATCATCGGTCACTGCCAGCTATGGAACCATCGACCCTGTTGATGAGCATTCAGAAACTGGTCAGTGACAACGAGCAGCTACGGGCAGAGCTGCAGGACAAGCGAGAGAAGATAGATTTGCAGAATGAGAAAATGTACCAACTGCTGCACTCAAATCAAAAGTGAGTGTCTGTTATTGGGCTGATGGACAAAGCATGAAAAGGAGATGAGCCGGCTGCTTGCTATATATGTTGTGTTGCAGGTATCTGGAGCAGTGCCATGATGCTCCACTGAAGACACTTGTCCTCACTCTTCAGCAGGAGAAGATAAAACTTGGTGATGACCTGAGTAAAGCTCTCTCACGAGTCAGCACACTTGAGGTGAGTGTTAGGGGCTGTTGTGGTTGTCTCTGAGGCCTCTACTCAAGCCATTTGTGTTGGAAACAGAAATGGCAGAAGAATATGGGAATGTAAGAATATGAGCAAGGGTAGGAACAGAGAAAATGGCAAGTTAGGAACGTTCATATTTATACTGTCTTTTGTGTTTAAAAAATGAAGGTGACAGTGGACAAGCCATGTAGTGTGAAGTGAGGGGGGGAGGGAGCAGGGACACTTGACCAGTGAGAGAGCAGTGGGAGGACATAAAACATTTTCTTCAAGAAATGGCACAGAGGACTGGATGAAGCTGGTCTGATGGCTAGCAGAGAGAAAGACTTCAGCTAAGCTACATCAGGAGCAAGTAAGGGCCAGTGCTTGGTTTTTCTTGCTTCTTCAACTGGTCCATGTACTGTATTCATTTTTTTGTGTGTTTGAAATTAATTAAGAAATAAATCCACATATTTCCCTTGTACCATTGTTATGCATGAAAGATAATGTCAACAGAACATGTTAAGAAGTAGGGGAGATGGATATTGTTGCCTGTGTAATGTCACATGATGAGGGTCCTGGGAATGTGACTATGCCAGACAAGTGATTAATAAGTTACTTTGATGAGACCTTATTATGGGCATAATAGAAATCTAAGGCAGTTCGGTAAAATATGAACAGATTAAATGTGACTGAAGCAAACATTATGGGTTAAGGGCTAGATTAGGGATTACAGGTATTTTGGTGGACAAGAAAAATGTCAATGCTGTATTTTTGATGTATTTCTTAATAAGTGGAAAAATATAACATGCATAATGAATACCATTACTCATCGTATTAGTCACTAATATGACTGCAGACAACATAATTTGTCACACTAATTATTAGTGTGACAAATGGTATTGTCTGTAGTTGCTGATAAGCTTTTATAATTTTAATTAAAAAAATGTGATGTAGATTAAAAACAATAATATTGTGATGAATATGACCATTGTTAGGCAACGATTTGGTAAGCATGTTCTCGTTGCAACGAATAGACACAGAATATGAACATTGCTAGCAACGGTTCGGTAAGCATGTTCCTGCTGTAACAGTTAATCACAGAAAACAGAATAACAGAGGAACTGTAAGACTTGGTGACCCATAATCGGTCAGGGTTAGTTCAGTACATTTGAGAGAGTGATCAGGGATTCTTAATTCATCATTCATCATAGTGGAAGAGAAGACTCTTGTAGTCCAGTAAAGAATGGAGTGAGTCCTAGACAGTCATTGATTGAGAGCTGTTATAATTAATTGTAATTGTAATAGAAGTGCCAATAAATCCAATCATCCAATCCAGAACCCATTATTACTAGTCACGGAGCTCTGGACACATGACGGTGTACGCAAATTTTCACAGTAGCTGTGTTAGCTGAATAAAAAGCTTTCATAGGCTGGATCTAGAATGTATCCCGTAGTTTGCCCACACCCGGGCTAAAGAGCTGTTTGCACACTGCATGGTTTCATATGAAGTAGAGTGATCTATTCTGTGACGCTTCATGTTCAGAAGTCTTCACCTGAATCATGTACCTGTGCTTTTATTGATGTAATTTTTGGAAGTAAAACGGTTTTCCAACTATGCAGTTTTCTGCTTGCAGTTGGATCTACATGGGTGGGCTGAAAAGTAATGCACACACGCTTGTAGAGCGCGAACAAAAACAAATAGCAAGATTGGGCAAAAAGTACATTAAAGTACAATTCTTAAGTTTCAAAAGCATATATTTATTTTTCAACATAGTCACCGTTAAGGCTAACACATTTCTCCCAACGTGTAAAAAGTCTTTTCATTCCGTCACTGAAAAATTCTTCCGCAAGTCGCAAGATCGGGAGAATAAGGAGGGTGTGGAACCGGTTCAAACTTCAGGTTTCGCAGAGCCTCTTCAGTTTCGCGCGAGGTGTGTGGACGAGCGTTGTCATGTTGCAAGATTATTGGCGCCAGGCTGCCCCTAACATGACAAACTCGACGCTGGAGGTGTTTTAGAGTCTGTATGTACTGAGAAGAATTTACCATTGCCCCTCGTTCCAGAAAATCGGTCACATAAACTCGATGAGCATCCCAAAACACAGTCAAAAGAAGTTTTTTGGCGGATGGTTGTGTTTTGAACTTTTTCGCCTGAGGAGAAGACGGATGTCAATATTCAGCGCTCTGTCTTTTCTCTTCCGGGTTGTAACGATGGACCCATGACTTGTCCCCAGTCACAATATTCAAAAGAAAGTCATCTCCTTTGTCGCGGTAGCGCTGCAAAAGTTGCTTGCAGCATTCCAATCGACGCTGTTTGTTCTCGTTTGTGAGACAGCTGGTACCCATCATGCACAGATTTTATGGTATCCAATTGTTCAGTAATGAAGCCGACACGTTCCTTGGATATTCCAATATGGTTTGCAATACGCTTTTGAGTGATTCGCCGGTCATTTTGAATCAAATCGTCGATGAGTTTGCGATGATTATCATCTGTGGCAGTGATCGGACGTCCGCTGCGTGTTTCATCAACAATTATGGCTTTTCCAGGATCGCAACCACGAAATTTTATTACCCATCGATTTACAGTAGACCTATCAACAGCATCGTCACCATAAACAGCCTTTAAACGATGATGAATCTCAGTAGGAGTCACTTTTTCAGCAGTTAAAGATTCGATAACAGCATGCTGTTTAACTCGTATTGACATAGCACTAGAACATGTCTCCATACTTCCGCTTCTCGAAATACACTGGATGAATGCAACAACCTCAAACCTGTGCATGCGTATTGAGGGGGAATGTTACTTCCACATGCCACCTGGCACGCTTCTGAAGGTCATTTCGTTCGCGCTCTACAAGCATGTGTGCATTACTTTTCAGCCTACCTATGTAGTTGATTGAGTATCAACATGCAGAATGCTTGATGACTGTTGCAGCTACAGGTTGCCAGTGCTGGTAAAACAGAGCAGGGGCTAGGTGAGGAGGTGTTGACCATGTCATCACAACTGAAGATGCTGCAGTCCGAACTTGAGAGCAGCAGACAGGTGTTGCAAGGTAGGCAGGGTGTTGTAGTGGCTTGTTTGGAGGGACAGTGACTGATGGCAGGTGAGTCTAGACTTTCAGAAAACTGTATTCTTCTGGTGTGTGGAACCACACAGCGTGGGACAGTTGCTGGAGTGCAGAACACACTTCATCTCTTCCTCCACACTTGATTTATGATGAGCAGCACCCACCACAACCCCCAACTTTCTCAGCTCCACAACCTTCTTGGGTTTTGTTCAGCATCTGCTTGTTCCATGCTGGTACTGTGCCTGGCATCTCTACTAATAAGCTGAAATTATGTTGCAAACATGGTGAATCAGGCCTGTGTTTGTGTTGGTGTGTTATTGTGCATGCTGGTTATACTCCCAGACTGGAATCTTGGTCTTTTGCCATAAGTGCTATAGATGTGAGATATAATTAAACGTGATATAAATTATTATTCATTTAAATGTCAATTTCTGTGGGACAAGAGTCTTTAGATATGCATATACAGGGTGTCCCAGGAGGAATGTGCCAGACTTCGGGAGGGTGATCCTTATGTTAAAGTATGCCGATATAACCCAAAACACCTATGTCCAACGTTGAAGGTTACGGAGATAATGGCCAGAGAAGTGTGAAACTTTGACAGGTGTTACACACTTGTTGATTAGCAAATACATATTAAAACTGGCAGGAATATGTGGTTTCTGTAATGTTAATAATGTACGTAACATCAAACTAACTCATGAGTGACATGAAGCCATTAAATTGAACTACAAAAAAACTCGCACGACATGTCATAGTTGTCCTTAGGTTTCCAAGCATTATACATGACACATGCATGGCAAGCGCTGACGTAACATGGCTGACTGCGCATTCTGGTATAAGCCGACTACATAACTACTAAAATACAGTACCTGCTTTATACTAATTGTTCAAAGTGTCCTCCGCCAGCTGCAATGTCTTCCAACAAACATGGTAACTCACTCCTCAGGAAGGCTTCATACGCGTTTCCAGTTAAATTTTTGTGAAACACAAAAGGTCCAAACAACCTGTTCCCAAGCACACCACACCATACATTCACAGAAAATCTCTTTTGGAATTTCGTTACCATTATCTCATGTGGATTATTATGGGACAACGTACGCACATTTCGTAAATTATTTACACCGTCCAGGGAAAATAACGCTTCCTCACTGAAAAAAATGATGCTTAACAGTTCGGGATGAGCTTTTATCCGGTGGCAGAAATCCATACGCTGAGAATGGTCACCTGGTACCAGATGTTGTACCCTTTGATCATGGTAAGGATACAACTCTTCATCATGTAAAGTTCGCCACACCTGCATACGTGATATGCTGATGCGAGAGGCCATTCTACGAGTGGACAGATGCGGACTTCTCTGAACCATCTCAAGAATGTTCTCTCGTGTGTTTCTCATTCGTACATCCTCCCTTTCAGAGTGCACAGAAACACTCAGAAGAGAACCAGTCTGGTGAATTCGCGTAAATACACTTAGAGATGGAATCCGTTGATCCATTGGCATTCTTCAACAGCAGCACGTGCATTGCCACCGCAAAATTCATACACAAAATGCATATCACAATTTCCACGTTTGAAAACACAAAAGGCATTTCAGCAACTCTACACAACTAATTTACCATCCATTCACAACGCGGCCACAACGTACTCTGTAGGTAGCGCGTGAGCTTACGGCTAGTGTGAATCACCACACTCGAGGACAAACATAGATAAGACTTCTCAGCTGACAGGTACAGTGTGTGGACCCGCCAGAAGACCACACACTGTACCTGTCAGCTGAGACTTTGGACATAGGTGGCATATTTTAACATAAGGAACACCCTCCCGAAGTCTGGCACATTCCTCCAGGGACACTCTATATATATATATATATACGTGTATTAAAGATAAGCAGCGACACACACAGAGAGCGCCTACACTGAACAACACATGAACAGCGATAAAAACAAGAAGTGG